TAAAACAGGGCATTTTGGATGAAAATAACATGCTCTCTGGTGTGTTGTTCAGGTTAAAACCAGACACTTGTGTCCACGGTACTTGACTCGTCTGTGTTCCGCTTTTAAAGTCAACTACAGGGAAATAGTTCTCCATATTGCCTTCCCTGCGACAGAGTTGTTTCAGAGTCACAAGCCTTTTCATGGTGATGAGTCAGACGTAAAGCTCTATGTGTCCTTTGTCATTTCCACGTTCCTCTTATTCACGGTGTATATTTACAGCTACGTACTCATTATTCTCTCTGTCCTCAATCTGTTTCAGGCTCTCACATCTCACAGGGGCTACCTCTTGACGGCACGCATTCCCACCAAGGTAAGAGCAGCGGCTCAGTTTCAAGTGGTTTGTGTTGCACAGTCAGCATGTCGGTTTAAAGAGAGCAGGAAATAGTTCTCATGTTTTAGAAATAGCACAGGGACAAATGAGATACTTCCTGGTAAAGGCCCACAAAAAGTATAAATAATATTTTGTGCATATATTAGACGTGATTAAAATATGTAATCTTATGTAACTAATCCAAATGAGGGAGTTATTAATATGGAAAAATATTCAAAAGTAGAACTCAGAATGCAGCTTCATACTTTATAGTTAGTTAATAAAAGTGAACAATTAATTTGTGAAATTTAAATTTATTTAAATTACAATGTTTATTGGGTTAATTTAACTGCATTCTTTTTTATTGAATGTACATTTTCACACCTTCTGTAGCGAGGTATTTTCACCTTCAAAGGATTTCTTCAAATGTTTGCCTAACATACTGTATCTGTGTGTGTGTGTGTTCGCACGTGTGTGTTTATTTCCCATGATTGTGTCTCTGTGATGGGCTGTTGACTTGTCAAGGATGTGGTTTCCCCCCAATGTCAGCTTGGATTGACTTCAGCCCCGTTCAGGACCATTCCATATGATTAATGACAGTTGATGAATAAATAAATGAATACATGAATAAATAACGACCAGTCAGATTAGGTATCATTTCAGATGACGGCCACAGACGAGATATCACAGATAGTCTTACACCACAACATACACAAGTGTTTTCCTGGTGTTAATTTCAATTATATTTCAGTAATTGCATACCTGGTGTCTTTAAAGATATTCTTCATATTCTATTCTCCATTCAATTAAATTCACCACTAAATATTTTGAAACCACAGATCAAACAAATCGACAGCTGATTGGTAACCATGCAGAGCAGGAATAATTTGCCACATTTTTTTGCGCTTGCGTTCTTGTAATCTATTTGAGACCCACATGGACCTGCTAATGGGCTGGACATGGATATGATCTCTTGTATTGATTTCCTATTTTAGTTCTTGTACTATAACAGGAATCACGTGGAGAAGCATCGTTTTATATATTTAGTATCAACTCAGCCTAAAAGCATTAGGTCTATATTTGTATGATTACAGTGCACTCCTCTGACTGGTTGACACGCCTGTGTTTTTGCACTTTTATTTGTTTAACATAAAGCAGCTGTGCTAAATGCAGCCCAGATGGCATCGATTACCACCATGGCCAGCCATGAAACATCTGTCGTCATCTCTACCAGCGTCATTAACACCACAACCACACAAACCAGCAGTGCAGTAAAACAATGCACATGTTTATTCAAACTTTTTTGTTCAGAACTCATGGTTACAGTGCGATGGTTCCAAAATAAGCAAACAGCAAATATGACATTTGTTGCATATCCTGTGCGGGAAAAAAATAAAAGTAAAAATAAGATAAAGGAACAACACGTGCTATAAAAACTTCTGAGTTACTTTTGGAGTGGGTAGGTTTGTGTGCCATTTATTGTGTCGATTACTGAACTTGAACAGGCGTACATACAAATTAGGGGATACTGTGACATCTCTAAATAGATACATCTGTTTAGAGTATTAATATGTTTGACCTTTGAAAAATGTCTCTTTACTTTATCTGTTTGTTTTTATTAGTTCATATTGTCATCAAATGCTAATTTCACAACAAGCCAACTCTGTGATTGTGTTATTATCATGAGCTCCAGAACAGACTGCACAGTGGACATGTCTGTTGACTCATTTCCTTTCCGAAAGCATTGTAGGCAAAATATTTGATCTATGTTAAGATTGCATGACTTCATTTTGACAGTACTTTTCTCAACAAGCGAAGCCCAAGGCTTATTGTCTCATCACTTAAACTCTAGCTGCGTGTTTCTCTTCCCACAGTTGTCTGAATCCCCCTCCAGCTCTCATACAATTCTCAGTGGGTTTTTACTCTCCCTCTCTGTGCCTCCAATTGATGGTTTGGCTGCTGCAGAGATGCTGCAGGGCCTACAGTCTGTCAGTGCTTCCACCTTAAACACACAAGCTTTTTTTCTCACACACACACATACATACTCCTTTATTCGCTCACGTCACTCTTTTCTTCCTGTCTTTGTGTAAGACTACAATAAATCTTATTTTGGCTCACAACTGATCATTCTTTCTTTATCGTCTCTGATAACAAATGTTACATTTTATAATTTATCACATCTTAAAATATTGATAAAATATTTTACTCTTATCCTTTTAATGGTACGTACTGTACTGCACTTAGTCAGACTTTTATGAATCCCATTAAAACTGAAGTCAAATCTGATCTCTGACCTTCACATCACTTTGATGTTCACAATGGTTTTAATCCCTGTGAATGAAACCGTTCTGTGTCTGCAGCAGATGGAGAGAGAAACATTCAACTAGTCATGCATTGGATTCACCCCCTCACCTCCCAGGGTGTTGTCTGTTATTGGCCTGAGCCATTGGCTTCAACCCAGTGCACTGCACCATGTTTATGTAAAACACACTGACCCATTTAAAGTTAGGTCTTTGGGCCGGAGGGTTTTTTTTTTGTCAATTTGAAATTACTAGTACTGTGAGACGATGCATCTGAATTTGTTCTTCGTTATTTAGAAATACTGTGTAGTCCTAATTGATTATTACATTATATATTTTCCTGGAAATAATACTTATGTTTTCCGAAAATAGGAAAACACAAGTATTATGTTAGTACTATAGACTGATAGTGTGAGTGAGTGAATATTCTCTGTAATACTGTAAGTGCATAGACAGTGCAGACTGTAGACAGTAGACAGACAGTCTGCTTCTCCTCTCATCTTTGAGCCAAGCCTCAGGAAGCCAAGCACCCACCTGGAATAGTCTGGCCTTGCTCCCTGCTCTGCCTTCAGGCACTTGGCTGCATGAGTGTGTCTGTGTGTTTGTGTTTGTGTGGACAAGAGCGTTGAAGAGACCAGCACCAGAGAACCGTGCTCTTTGTATATAGTCGGTGGAATTTCAGGGTTTTCCACTCTTTCATCTTCTCTCTCCTTTTTAGGTATGGAAAGTCAGCTTTTTTTTTCCTGTGTCCTGAAAAGCCTTGCGGCTGTCTTTATCCTCACACCTTGGTTCACATCAATAGAGATGTCATGTGTTTTCACCTTGTTCTTAAATTTCTGAAGCTTTTTTTAGAGTTATGAAGCAAAGTGCACACACAGTCGCAGGTTTAGTGGGCGGCCCGTAAAAAGTGTTAATGATGTTTTTTAAACCATTTTGTAGAAATTTGTTTCCTTTTTTTTAATATATTTATTTTATAAATATTATATATATATTTTTTATTTTTTAAGAAATTACTTATTTAGATTATAATGCTTTTGTGGCTTTTTATTTAATTATTAAATAATTCATAATTAAAAAATAGTTGTCTTCAGTGTGAATAGTTAGAATGTGTTATAAATGGGCCTTCAATGATCCTAAACCATTATATATGTGGATTATTATCTAATAATTTGATGATCCAGGAAGGACATTGACAGAAGTTTCTTTGTGTTACTACCATGATGCAATTCTGAATATGTGTGTTTTAATTTTGATTTATGGTTTCTTTCTTAGGTGGAACATTCCTTTAATTATCTGGAGATCCAGGGAATATCGTGCAACAAACCGACACAGGTACATAAGATCATCATCTGATAGTAAATAAGCCGAATCTAAAGATTGTGGTAAAAATATTACTCCATCTGACCAAATAAGAGGTTATTAATCCTAGAAGTCAGAAATACTTCTATCTTTTGTTGTTTGTTTTCCTCTCTGGAGAGAATGCTCTTGTTTGACTCTTTGACCAGAGCTGATTCACTGTGAGTAAACAGGATGGACCTACGGACTGTAATAATCCATCATTACCACCGTCTTCTTCAGCAGTTCTCTCCCCCCCGGGTCTCAGGAGATGTGTTCTCCTAATGTCTTAGCCTCCTGGATCGTAGAAGATTATGTTAATTTTGGCCTATAGTGAAGTCACATATCAATTTACATGGACATTTGCATAACTCCACTCCTGGTAAATGTGCTTAAACCCTTATTTAATGCAAATATGTGGGATGTAGCTGTAGCTGAGCAGACAGATGGTGATGCTTTTATTCTTATTCAATTTATTGCAGGGTCAATTTAACAAGTAGATAAATGGAAGGATCTTGGCTGAAAAATTTAATTATAAACAAAGGGGGAAGCGAAGATGCTTTCGCTCCAAATAAAACCTTCTAATACACAAGAGTATAAATTATGCAGTAAATGGAGCAGAGTAATTTCAACAATGCTGACTCACTCGTGTCTGTCCCCTCAGCTGCTGATAGAGTACGAGCGAGGATCCTTCTCTCTGAAGCTGCTCTCCTTAGAAGAAGTCAATGAAGTGGTGGCTCAAATTGGAAACTGCCTTTTAAGAATATGTCCTGGTCTGTCACCCAGGTGGGTTCTAACCTCAGTGTGCTCTGTTTAATAGATGAAATATATATCTTAAAAAAAACTCCCTCTCTTTTTGCTGATGTGTGTCTGAAGTCTAATAATGTTGTGAATTTGTCACTGTCCGGGTATCTCCTCAGTAAAGTGATGAAGAAACTCTGTATGGAGCCTCCTGAGAGGCTGACCTCTCTGCAGACTCTGTGGGACAACAACAAGCCAACGGAACCAGGACCATGTGGTAGGAAACTGTCTGTGGTGAATTTGTGATACCTGTTTATCATCATTGTAACATTTTATGACGTTAATCATATGTAAAGATAACTTAATTATTTTCTTACAGTTTGCATAATATTGTGTTCATCCGATTGTTGGCAAAAGTTAAATTTTCTCCTTATTAACAGATGACTCTGAGTGGAAAAGCAAAGCATTCTATATTGAACCAAAAAGACTTGGAATAGATAAGACAAAATAACTAAAAAGGATAAAAAAAAGAATTAAACTAAACGTATCTTAACTTATGAAACCAGAAAGTGAGCAGAACTTTTACACAAATAAGGCATTTCAATTGAAAACTCTGCCTCCTGTTGTCCAATAAAGAAACAGCACTGAATCCTGTTGTCCAATAAAGAAACAGCACTTAAACAGAGTAGCACTACTTCCATGTTTCAGTCAACAAATTTACACACAAGTGGTTGGTTAAAGTCTCTACAAAACATGGACCTGGTGAGGACTGAATGACTTATCCATCCTCTGTGCAATAAATTACATAAATAATATTTAAATTAGTAATTATTAACACTGATATTGATACTGTCATCGGTGCATGTCTAATATTTAACAATAAAAAATGTCAATGCCACATTGTGTGTAGTTTCCAGGCTGCATTAGGTTTTTCCTGTGGGTTTCAGGTGGATTTTCTCAGATGTACAGATGTGTGTGTGATTGGTTGGGGCTGCCATACAGAGACGAGGTGCAGTGGGTCAGTATTCCTCACATCCTTTTAAGTGTATACATGTTTTTGTGTGTACCAGTGTTGTTGACTAGATACCATCGAACTGTAATAAGAATCTTTAATCAGAAGTATAATCTCAGCAGGATATGAATTCCGTCACCCTTCTCTTTTATCTGACTGCCTCTTCTATGCTTTTCCTCCTTTTTCATGGACTCTGATTTATTCTGAGCACCCAGACTTTTTCAAACAGGCTAACGTGTTTGTTTGTATAATCTTTATTACTTTTTTTTCCTCTTTCAGGATGTAGACACCATCTATTTGACCCAGGACACCAGGGAGCTCAACCTGCAGGACTTCAGCCATCTGGAGAACAGGTGAGACCCAGCTGTATCCTGCAGCTCACACACAGAGGTCATGTGGTTCTACACAAAAGAAAGATGTTGGTTTTACATGATTTATTTTCTCAGGTTAAAATGCTCAAGGCGACACCTGCTCTCAGGTAGATCTTGAGAAAGAACCGTGACCTTTTGTTTCTCCTCCTCAGGGATCTGCTGGCAATTATAGCAGTTCTTGAGTTTAACCAGTGGTTTACGAAGCTTTCCACCAAGGACTACAAGCTGGTTCGTTCCTGTTCTTTATGTTATGTTAAGTTAAAAATGTTCTCACATCATTAAATGTCTTTTTACTGTATGTCTTTTTTTAAAGGCATTACAAAAATAAAGAAAGAAAAAATAAAGTTGTGATTGCTGCAGCTAAAAGGTGATATTGTGGCACACAGACAAAGTGGATAAATGTGGTTAAATATTTAAAAAGGCAAAATGGCATAGACGAGCTACAGTCCTTGGGGCAAAAAATAAGAAAAAGATATACTATTTCTGTCAGATATAGTACAAAAAGTGGAACGAAGGGAAAGGAAGCTGAAAAAGACAAAGTTTCAAAAGTTTATTTTAAGCTGTTACAGCCTTAAGGAACTGTTTGGAAATATTTTATCTAATTTTCTTTTTTCATGTTGCCCTTAATTTACACTCAGGGGTTTAAAGCTCAGTATCTGACTGAACAGAATATTTTTTTCTGTTGTTCCCTTCCCTGTGACTTACGTCTGTTGACTGAGGATCAGTCTCATGTTCTCCTATGATAAGACTTTTAAATCCTACCAAGACAAAAAGGCTCAACTGTTTCAGGCTGGTTCCCCCTGAAGCAGTCATTACTAACCCTCTCTCATTAGGACTTACTCTGTCTCATCAGTTACAACATGCAGATTCCTCATTGCAAACAATTATCTACATCCACCATCACGGACTATTCCCCAGGATTTGCATTTTTAAATTACTCCCTTTGTCCTGACGTGCACACTCACGCACTCACAATCTCTCAGGCATGTTGTCAACTTGTCAACTTGTGGGGAGTTTGTTTTAGATTTTCTTCTTCTCCCCCCTTACACATTCAGGGTGTATTGCCTCAAAACTCCAATCAGACCCCTGTAATTCCTTAAATGCAGGATGCTCATTAAAAAACAGTGAGATTTCAATGCTGTTGTTCTATAAAAAAAATATACAATTTTAATTATTCGCTTTGCTGCACAACCCCTTAATACCTCCACGCCCCCTAGTGGAGTCTAGCCCCCATTTTGGGAACCAGGAGAATAAAAGTGTGGGACTGGGTGAAAAGTGTGACATGGTTTGCGATTTCCTCAGCTGGGTTTTAGGTCAGACCTGTGCAGCATGACAAAGCCTTTTTTAAATAAGTGCTGAACGCTGCAGTGCACAGACCTTACAGTGTCAGCCACCTTTTTATTCACATGCTCTGACCTCTACTACAAACACAAACTGCTTTGTGTGAACTCTGCCACTCAGTTCAGGTTCGGCCCACTCTGCTGCCTTCTAATTCTCCATTTCACCCCTTATTACCCTCATATCTCTGTGTTTCTGTACGATGTCACCCCTCTCTGCCCTCCGCCATTATTCTTCCCTTCACTAATGCTCACAGTTTCACAGAGTAAACATGTTAACAACAGTCTCTTTCTACTGTCTCTCCAGCCTGTTTTTTCTGTCTCCATTATCTCTCTCTCTCCTCTCTCCCTCTCCCTGGTCACTGTGGATAACAGTGTGAAACATTGTTTCCAGTGTTGTGGTGACGCTCAGGCAGCAGACTCACAGACACAGTTGTTATAACAGGAAAATGCCAGTGTTGTGAGGAATTAGAAATGTAGAACACACTCTGACCTGAGCTGGGTCAACTGGTTCTGTTGAGCTCTGGTGTCCAACTGCTACATTTTCTATTTCAGTCTGTTTTTTTTTTCTTTTCTTTCTGTTTTTCTCAGTAACATAATATGACTTAACTATTGTGCCTCAGTGATGTAAGACTGCGACCTACCATGGCAGACATAATATCAACTTTTTGTGTGAAATAAAAACACTGTAATACTGCAGTGGATACCTTCTTTGTGTATTTGTAATACTCTTTATTCTTCCAATATGACTATGTGCCTAAATAAACATTTTTTGTCTGTGTGTGTGTGTTCAGTCAACAGATGTGTGTGACCAGATCCTCAGGGTGGTGTCTCGATCCAGTCGACTGGAGGAGTTGGTTTTGGATAACGCAGGACTTAAAACGTACGAATTACCAGGACCAGGAGTAGATACATAAATGAACATGTTGGATCAGGTTTTCTACTTAATTTGTGTGTTGTTTGTTTACTTTTATCAATAATGCCAACTACCTTATTTACACTTTGCACTTTCTAGTCTACATTAAAGCACCAACAAACACCATTAAAATGGCTGATTCTGAATCTTGTAGCTACATTACTAAAATAAAAAGTCTGTATTACATCGTTGCTGGAGCAGCTTCTCATCACACAGCCATTAATCACCATCAGTGTGGCTGGACACACCCAGACTCTATGATAAGTTGCACATGTACTGTCCATTAGTCATAAATCCTGTAACGGTACAACTTTTTTAACCCTGTACAGCGATTTTGCCCAGAAACTGGCTGCGGCTCTGGCCCATAATCCCAACTCAGGACTCACCACCATTAATCTGGCCAACAACCCCCTGGAGGACAGAGGTATGAAACCTGCTGTGGTCTAGAACAATGGGCTTCACTCCAAGCTGTGATTTTCTGAACTTCCCTGTTTTACTTAAAACATGGTGTTTTTTCCATCCAGAACAGCTATGCTAATTACTTGTAAGTTATTATCAGTTATTGTCAGTTATAATTTACCATCAAATGTACAGAATCTGATATTTTCTTAGCCAAGCGTTTAATGTCACTGCATGGTATGCAGGAAGGCTGAGTAAACACTGAATTTAAAAAAAAATTGATTTTGAATGTAATGACAAACTAACGGCAAAATGTCCAGTAAAAGTTGTCTTATACAGACTTTTTTTTTTTTTATCTAAGATAAGTAGTTGAATTTCTCCTAATTTTCCCTCCTCTCTTCCTGTAGGTGTATCCTCTCTGGGGACTCAGTTTGCCAAACTTCATATGGGGCTGAAACATTTAAACTTCTCTAAGACCTCACTGTCACCCAAAGGTATGTGCTGCTTCTGTTTGCTTCTTCAACTAGTGATCTCTGGTGCCACTGGGCCACTAATGACAATCAATGACTGCATTGTTAAAACTGTGAGTGTCGGCAGGAGTGTGATATAATGTTATTGTAATTAATTAGTAACAGAACAAGCTGTGAAAACATAATTTATTTGAATTTAGTCTTGACATAATTGAAGAGGCTTTCTGGACTTTGTTTTATAGAGGCTGCAGGTGGAATTTTGTAAAAATATATTTCCTCGTATGTAGTGATGTATGGTAATAGTCAGCTACAGGTAAAAAAAAAGATTTGGTTTTTGTCCAAAGTAGAAGCTTCAGGTCAGGCTGAGGCAGCGTCTGCAGGGACCCTGTGCAAATACGTTCTGCACTCAGACAATCAATAAGAGCTCTCATGTTCCACTGAGCCCTGCTCAGTGTGCTAACGGCCCAATTCATAATCCAAGTACAAAGACCACAGTGCTCAGACCAAAGTAAAATGATTCATTTTTAAGGTAGTGGAGCTGTCAAATGTTACGTAAATTGATATTTTCTATCGCTAAGTCCCAGTATTACTCAATTTCCAAGAAGTATGTATTATCATCATATTGGACTCGACACTATACTTTTTTTTCTTGTATCCGAGCAGTTGTGCTGTCAGTGTTTGTTTGGGTTTTTGTTGTTTTTTTTCAACACATGACTCAGAAAACCTGTTCTCGTGTCTGTTTTACTACATTTAACTGTAGTTAAAAAGCAGCAGTTTCATTGTGTTCCAATCAACTCATCAACTATGTTCCTGTTACTATACAGAAATGGAAACTTTCCCATTGAGTCAGCATTCTGTATGCGGCCCACATCTTTGTCACTCTCGTCCTGTCCAAAGCTTGAAACTCAGTGTGTTTAGTGAACTAAAAAATCACGTTTCTGTCCATTTCACATACATTCACACCACATTCACATGCTGTTCTTCCCAGTCTTCACCCTCAGCCTATTTACTCTGCTATGTCCTTCAGTATGCTGTTAAAACGAAACATTAACCGCTTGTCTTGTGTGTGCTTGTATCTGTGGGCGTAGGGGTGAACAGCCTTTGCCAGTCACTGAGTGCCAGCTCGTCCATCCCCAACAGCCTAGTCCATCTGGACCTCTCAGGGAACATCCTCCGAGGAGACGACATGCAGGTAAATTCTTACGGCTATCCATGTTCTTTGGTGATTAGGACACAGTCGGAGGAGTGGTACATGTCAGAGCTGCATCACTGTGGAGGCCTTTTAGACTTTGAAAAACTCACTTAAGTCCATATCATAGATCAGGGATGTTGCTCAATGGTTAATGTATGCTTTATTAGAATTGGAATTGGAGAGATATAGACTAAATACTGAATCCTAAATGGATTTTCCTGCTATTTTACAATTTTTGGTCTACATTAATATTTAATGTCTAAAGCTGTATTTTGCTTATTTCTATTTCCAGCATTTCTACAACTTCCTCAGTCAATCCAACATTTTGGCGACCCTTGACCTCTCTAACACTGACTGCTATTTGGACCAGGTGAGTTACAGTATGGTTTTCCAGAATGTTCCAGATCTAGACCCCACTTCGGTTTGGACTCCCATTTACCATCAACCTTTATGTTCCATAATTGTGGTGATATTTAAAGCAATGATATGTCAAACATTTTTGCCTCAAGATGAGAGATTTTCTGTGATTGACAGCTGTAACAATCATCAGGCCACGTTGTCAAATTTCGGTTCATAACTATCAGAAAATTATTGTCCTAACGCAGTTACAGTTTTATTATGAAAGACTGTAAAACAAGGTTGCAGCTCGTTGACATATGTGTTTCCAGGAGTGTAATTCAATTCTCTCCATCTCTTTTGCGTGTAACCGTCTGCTGGTGCAGGGGTCTGGGTACAGCACGTGATGTATTGATGTGGGTCTCAGAGCCAAACACATCTTATTGATTGGCTGGAGACGTAGCCAGCTGTCAGCCTGTCACTGCTTATATTAATGAGCTCTTTAAATTATATTATATGCTGTCAGGTGCAACAGACTGTAAATGTATGTGCACACTTGTAAATACATGATAGGGCTGTAGGCAGGTTTGTGGTAAACAGAGAGTGGTTGAAATCATGAATGTACGCACGGCTTCTTTGTTCCGCAGGTCTGCTCTGCTCTGCTGCGAGGTTCAGTTCAGCATCTCTCTGTTCTTAACGTGTCAAAGAGCATCTTCCCTCACAGGTAAGAACACAACAGGTTTAACAAAGGGGAATGTTTGTGAATGTGAATCTGGTTTTCTCCTTATGAGACAAACATTTTTTATGGATTCACAAAAAAAAAAAACGCTGGAGATATTGGGCCAGTGAAAAGAGCAATTTACAGAAAGCTTTGTAGTGTACTGCATATATACATCTAGTGGATAAAAATGAGGATGAGGATAAAAAAAGCTAAAGATTCTGTGTAAAATTTCAACTTTTTTCAGGAGTGTTCACCGATAAAAAAAAATCTTGAGGTCTTACAGGGTTTACAGTTTTCCAAATTTTAAACAGTGGTTTACTGAGTATCACAGTATGACACCTGCTGGTGATAACATGCTATTACAGATAATCCTGCCTGTGTGTGGGTTTCTGTGTTGGTGATGCAGCGATGCTTGTTTGGGGAAATACTATTGTTGTAGAGTTTTCTCTTGGACAGAGTGAGACAGTTTTTTTTAGGATCAATATTTAGTTTGGAGTTTGGTTTCGAATTAGTGTCAGATTGGAGTTAGGTTAAGGATTGAGATGGGGCATGAAAATAATTTGTAATAGCAAAGGTTAGGGTAGGAAGCAAAGAAAGGTATTACCTTTATGTGAATCACAGAAACCAGTGTGTGTGTGTAACAGATGGACAGTTGGTGTAGTCGCCCATTATCTCCCTTTCCAGTGTGTCTCTGGGGAGTTGTAGGGTTTTTCATGAGCTGAGGTTGTTTACGAGTGGGTGGAAGGGTGAGTGGGGGTGAACATGTGTGGAGGAGGTGAGAAAATAAGCATTCGAAGACTGTAATTGTTGTACAGAAATGAGTTCTGTATGTGAAACATCTGTATGTGTGTGTGTGTGCTTGTTGAAGGTAAAACAGATGGAACCTACCCTGAGCTTCAGTCTTAAGTCCATTCATATCAATTATTTCCATCTCCTGTTCTGTAGGAAAAATAAAGAGGTGCCTCCATCATTCAAGCACTTCTTCAGCAGCGCCATGTCTCTCAGCTCCATCAACATGTCAGGAACCAAGCTTCCACCAGAGGCCCTCAAGTGAGACACTCTTTTATTCCATTGATGTCCAAGAAGTAATTTCCTCAGTGAACACTTTTCTCCTGGTCGTCATAATACTGCATCTTAAAAAGCTGTAATATTTCATCATCAACCATGTTGTTCACCGTTAAAAGAACTAATCTCTATTTAAAAAGTCACGTCAGCCTGGATCACTGTTTGCAGCTCTTCGACTGTACGTACTTTTATGCATTTTTAGTTCATGTACCATTATATTTTTAGGGCTCTCCTGCTCGGTCTGGCCAGTAATCCAAACCTGAAGGAGGTGTCTCTGGACCTGAGCTGCTGTGAGGTGAGACCTGCACTGATACAACGCACTGTTATATTTTCTGTTTTAAAGGGTATTTTAATCTAATTTAATTAAAAAAATGTACACTACTGTCCAAACGTTTCAGCCTGTACCGTGTTCATTCTTTAAGTATGTAAAACAATAACAACAATAACAAAATACAACAATATTGAACTTATTTTCCAGCTATCTCTAGCACTTAAGTGTCCTTATTTATGAATTCTAGTAAATAATTTGTGCAGTTGTGTGCACATGTGACATCTGTGTGTTAGAATAGCAGAATGATCATTTAACATCTGTGTGTGCTAATTGTTGCTAATTGCCCTTCCTGGTGCTGACACTCTGCTCTCTGCCTTTAATGCTTCACTAAGATTGGCCATTGTGTAAGTAATGATGTGTTCACTCCTTATAATTAACATTTCATTCTTCATTCTTTTTACAGACTTTCTATCTATGAGGTCTTTTTACTCATTTTTCCCTTATCTACAATTCAGAATTTCTGGAGATCCTGCTCCAGCTGTTCGAGATTATACGTCTTATCTCAGGAAGTGGCGTTTACCATTGAGTTAGTGTCTGAAAAGTGGCTCATATTTCTATCTTTAGCTTTAAAGTGGTTTAAAATGAGACTACATTTCTGTTCAATCAAGCGCTTGTATACTTTAGTTCAAGGATAGAAAGAGAACAAATTTAAGTGTCTAAAACATTTTCTACAGATGTGAGGTTGAAAAAATGTGTTATGTGTTTTTCAGATCGCTTGATTTGGCCTTGGAGTGAGGACATAACCCTGCTCTTTGCAGTGTTGCCTTTAAGGAACAAACTGCCTTACTGTATATGAAGTAATATACTAAAATCATTTTCAGGATGCTCTGAAAAACACAGTAGTGAATCTAAAGCAGACCAACAGTCCTGTTAAATTGACCCAGAAGTACTGCAGCTTGTTTGCTTAATCATTAAGATCTGATGTAGTTTAATAGTCAGCTATTTTTTTTACATAGAACTCTGGGTTTTTCTGTCTTCACAGCTACGGTCAGGTGGATCTCAAATCCTAGAGAGTTGCATTGCAGAGATGCCCAACATCACCAGTCTGGACATTTCTGACAATGGTGAGAGATGACTCTATTTTACTGCAGTTTTTTAAACATAACACTAATTTTCAAACTCTTTTTTTCAAATAATAACTCTGTCTAATGAATACATCTGTCTTAAGGACTGGACTCAGATCTGTCCACCCTGCTGGTGTGGTTGGACACGAAACGCTGTTTCGGACAACTCTCCTTAGGAAATAACAAACAACATCAAGTCAAAGTAAGAATTTGGAAAAAATGAAAAGTGAAAAATAAAGAACACATTTACACAGTTGTTTAAGTTTAGCCTTGAAGGTCTAAATATCAGACACTTTTTTAATAATATCTTCTGTCTTCCACGTGACAGAAACCTTGCTCCTGTGCTGGACAGCTTGGTTCATATTCTTCAGGAGGAGGAATCGGTGAGTTTTTCTGACTTTAATTTTTTTAGTGTGACAGATGTTTCCAATGAATATTTATTGGTCCAACTCCCAAGTTTAAACAAGAATTAGTCGAATGGACAGAAACTTTAGCTCCTGTCTGTTCATTTGTTTCCATGTTGGTAACTTGACCCTGACGCTGCGTGAATCACAGTTACATGAATAACTGGAGGACATTGAGTGAATTCTGCAACAACAGAAACTACTTTTACGTTAAAAGGTCATGGGTGTCACTTTCTTCAGTATTTTCCAGCTGTGACTCATCTTCCTTTTTTTGACTCATTTATTTTATCTTTTTTTTTTCTTCGTCGTCATCATGGCAGCTGTAACAAATGTTTCTCTCCGCTGGCTGCCTCTCTGTCTTACACAGTGCTGGTTGTGTTAGATTGATGTTCCCACTGAGAAGCCCTGCACAGGAACAATGCTTGTTATCCCCCCCCCCCCCTCTCTCCCTCTCCCTCTCTCTCCCTCTTCCTCTCCGTGTCTCTCACTTTCTCTCTCTCTCTCACTCACTATAACGTTTATCTATCACTTGGGTTGTTCAGCCATTGGCAGTGGACTGAACGTCATCATCATGCCTATCATCTTTATGTCTCAAACGATATTACTAATATTTATGGCACATAAGTGGCTCCAGTGACCTTTGTTCAAGTTGGCCATGATTTGAAAAACTGGAGCCAAAAAAGCTTTTATGAATGTTAACTGATGGAGCGGAGACTCAGCATTTCTGCAAATATTAAACACCCCCATAAGATGAGCAGTAGTTAATTTATAAAACCAGGTCGAAATCATGTCTAAAATTCACAATATGAACCATTCACACCAGGCTGCACGGCTCTGTTTCATGCTACACTGGTTCAACAAATAAATAAAATTATTTTTAATAAAATTTGTTTAAAGTTTTATTTTTTCTTTCTTCTCTGTCCATCCTCTCCCCCTCTCCATCAGCCCCTCACCTCCCTTTCCCTGGCAGACTCCAGACTGAAGACCGATCTGAGCATCGTTCTTAATGCCCTCGGCAGCAACACCTCACTCACCAAAATTGACATCAGCGGGAACGCTATGGGAGACATGGGAGCGAAGATGCTAGCCAAGGCACTGCAGATTAACTCCAAACTCAGGTGAGGTTGTCATTTCATTGGAGAGCTACATCTGTATCGGGAAAATGATGTACAAATATTTTCTCAAAAATATAAAAATGGTCTTCACCTTTTGTCTGTGTTATTGTGTGTCTTCTCGTAAAGGACTGTGATCTGGGACAAGAATAACACCAGCCCTCAGGGCCTCCAGGATGTAGCAGCAGCTCTGGAGAAGTAAGTGCTGCTCTCTGTGGTTATTTATTTTTCTACACTTGTAGGTTGGTAAATTACTCATGTATTAATTCCATAAAAAGTTCATTTCAACAGTGCACATGTGCTGGTGCTTTGACTTCTGCTGAACAGAAGGAAACCTGGAGGTGTGTTTACACAGGAAAGAGGATGAGAAACAGGAAGGAAGATACAGAGACATGCACAGGGAATAGACAACAAGACAGAGAGCGAAAGTACAGATAAAGGGAATGAATAAAAAAAAGATTCTGTTTCATCTTCAGTCTGAGAGTTTTGATGGTTTAACCTCATCTTGTCTCACCAGTGTTGCCTCTGTGCACCAGACTCTTCATCGGCTCACTCACGTTTTTATATTATCTCAGGAGCTCGTCGTACCGTTCGCTGTCAGACTCTTTGTGTTCTACTATTAAACACACATTCTCTGTGTGAGTGTGTGGAAAAAGTGAGGCAGGTGTGCTGCACACATTCACTCTTTTGTTCCACCTCGAGCTACGTCTTCAATTTACCATTCCATGATCTTATTATGAATATTAAAACTGTGTGTGGCTTTATTTTTCATCATTATTTACCTCCAGTTACTGATGATGAGCCAGTTCTTCTGTAATGAAGCGGTGTGATAACAGCCCATGGGTCAGACCACATCTGGTTTGTTGCCTCAGCTTTATACACACATACACAAACACAGGCACACACTCGTTGTTGTGATTTGTGAGCACTTCAGATATTCTAAACATAATCCCTAATTCTAATCCTGTATCCAAACTAAACCTCCAAATATTCTCTCACTAGAAATATAGCTATACCAGGAACACACACACACACAGCTCTTTCCACAGAGATGACATCGTTGTTAGTGTAGCTCAAGGAAATACTGTCATTTCTACTAGGAATCCAAGGCAGAGAATGCCTCTTTATACTGGGTGATGTATTTGTTGTTTGCACTGGCTGTGAAAGGCCATCTGGTGGTCCAACTGTGAATTAATTTTAGCAGCACGATGAGAGCATCTGGTTTCACCTCAGTTCCTCCCCTGTTGTTTAACAAGACAAACTGTGTGAACACAGACTGGACTGAAATAATTTTTTAAAAAAACATTGTCTCATACGTCAGTCTGTTTTCATGACCCTGATTTATCTTTGGACTCTTTTTTTGGTCTTTTAGGAACTTCACCATCCGTTTCATGCCCATCCCCATCATTGATGCCTCCCAAGCTCTGAAGGCCAGTCCAGAGAAAACAGAGGACGCACTGCTGAAGGTAAAACTCACTTGCTGTTCTTTTGCTTTACTTCTGTCTATTGCGATTTTCATTAATATTTCATTGTCTTATATTGATGGTAACTTTGTGTTTATCTTCCACAGATTGAAAATTATCTCTACAGAAACCATGAGACAAGGAAATACCAACAGGAACAGGCCTATCGGCTCCAGCAGGGCATTGTCACCACAACCACACAACAGGTTTATACACATACTCTGAAACACACACGCACACACTGAGAACAGTGCTTGGTGGATCTGCCAGAGTTTGCACTCACATATCTAATGATGCAAACTTGAAGCTTGAGAAACACTGGCCACTGTTTAAACTATTAGGCTATTGAAATCCTGACTTCAAGTTTTATTTTTCAGATGATGGACAGGATTTGTGTAAAGGTGCAGGATCACCTCAACTCTCTGAAAAACTCTGAAATAGACGCCATCCTGGAGGATGTCAAGTCAGCAGAGAACCTCATCAAAGATGCAAGAAACTCTAAAACGGTGAGAAAAAAACATTTTTGTGAAACATTCAACATGGCTACTATTTTTTTCCACCCTGAATTCTCTGCGTGGTGTTCATATTAGATTGACATTTTCAACATCTTTTTTAGACCTGAATTAATTTAGGATTAAACAAATACAGGGCAAAATGCTTGCAACATTAATTTTGTTTTTACGAAAAAGTAGCTTTTACTGCATTGTATGTAGCCAAGGAAAACAACTTGTTTTCTTTGTCTCCTCAGCTGCTCCCAAACCTGTACCATCTGGGATCAGCTTCCAGAGACGAAGTGAACAACTCCTCCGTGGGACCAATCCAGGGGAAACTGGAGTCTATGGCAGGAGAAGTGACCAACGTCGTGGACCAGCAGCTGCAGGTGGACTTCCTGTAAAATTGGGCAAACTTATATTCATTTGTGATCTGACTTAAAAGGTTTTAAATAGTTTAATTTCAGAAGCATTGTTAGCATTCAGCTAATGATGTACAAAAGTATGTACTGTATATGCATAGTAATATGTCTTGTCTTTATGCACCCCAGACTCTGCTGGAGTCCATGGTGGACACGGCAGAGTCGCTGTGTCCGCATGTGATAAAGAGGAGCAGTCTGCGGTCAGAGCTGTTGAAGGCCAGCGCCAACAAGATTGTCGTGCCCAAGAGCTTTGTCGCCAAAACCCTCCTGGAGCAGTCGGGCGTGGACATCATCAACAAGATCAGGTGTGTGTTAGATCCTTGGCGTCACTGAAGACATTATATTGAGACTAGTCTTATTAAAGTCTTTATTTGTCCGTCAGTGAGGTGAAGCTGAGTCTGGCATCCTTTCTGTCCGATCGCATCGTTGACGAGATTCTGGAGGCTCTGTCCACTTCACAACAAACTCTGGTGAGATTTCTCCCTCATCTCTATTATATTTAACATATTTGTTTGAGTTGTAAACATCAACTCTTTATATGAGCTCTAACAACATTATCTCTTTTTTGTTTACCTTCTTTCCTTATCACCTCCCCTTCCTGTTTCCTGCCTTTCCTCTCCTCCCCCTTCTTTTACTCCCCCCAGGCAGACCATCTGGTACGCCGAGGTCGTCCGTTGGTGCATCAGGAGTCGGTGGAGCTGGACGTCCCAGAGGAGAAGATTCCTAAACGGGCATCAGCAGAAATATTAGAGGCAGAGAGGCTCGAGGACCTAGAGACATGCATGGTAAGTGTGTGTGGGTGTGTGTGTGGGTGTGAACAGCGTGTGTCAAGTACCTGAGGGCTTCAGTGAACTCGGAGTCATTCGAGTGATTAAATTTAAAATGGACATATTTTGTTTCTGGTTAAAACATCAATAATGTAAAAATAAGAACCTGTGTCTTTCCCACAAAACATTTAACTGATATGTTTTAAGCTGTTATAATAAAAACAGTCTGATCATTCTGAATTTAAATGCAGGCTGGAGTTGACTTATTGTGTCCTCATTTGTATGTAAATGTCCAGCTCCTGCACTCTCTGCCTTTGTTGTCTCCACCTTCCTCCTCTTTGAGTCTACTCTTCTTTTTTTTTTCTTGGTCTTCAACCTCGCTCTTTGTCGTCTCTTTCTTTTCAATCCTCTATTTTTCAAATTTTGCTCCATGGAGACTTTGTGCTGCACCAGTGTAAGTAGTCTCTGTCTCTGACCGTCTCCACAAACTCGCCTTACTGATGTCTGCATTCGCTACACATTTTTTCCCAAATTATGCTTTTTACAACAAGGAATGAGCCGCTTTTCATTCATAATCATTTTTTCACTCATTTTCTCAGGTTCACACGAAAAAGAAAACGTGATTGACTAAATTTAAAGTCTTCATTTAACCATATTCTGTATCTGCATGATGTTGGATTTTGAAGTACATGACTGAAAACTGCACTAGAAAACAGTGCTGTGCAACAATTAATTGCAGTTTAAAAATGCAAAGGTAAAAATCTTTGGGGTTTTTTGTATTGCACTTATTTATAATTCTATCAGTTTTGTAGGACTGCAGTGTTTATTATAAAAGGAAGTGGAGGGCTGAAGCGTTTGGGAACCACAGAGCCATAGTATTATCATCACTGTGCTGTGAATGTGGATCTCTGTTAAATAAATATAATTTATGATCTTAGGCCATTACTCTACTCCACTTATGTGTAGTTGTTGAATATGCAACAAATACTAACAATACACATAAATACTAGATCCAACACTTACAGTACAGAGATTTTTTTAAATATGTACTCCTCATCTTATGTTTTCTGGAAAAAATACTTATGTACACGCTGAAGTAAACATCACCAAGTACTGATCAGAGTTTCTGTTTTCAGATGACTCCAAAATCAAAGAGGAAAAGCATCCACAGCAGGATGCTGAGACCGGTGTCTCGTGCCTTTGGTAAGAGTTCAATTTTAGTTTTTCTTTACATTTGATGATCGTAGCACTCCTGCAAGAAGAACGCTGGTTTGCTGGTTCAATCCCCCGTCCTTCAGTGTGGAGTTTGCTTGTTGTCCCCATGTTTAGAATATATTTAGGTATTTTATTTTGAAGGATCTTTGATCCATGTCTGTTTCTTCAAACCTACAGAGATGGAGTTTGATCTTGACAAAGCCTTGGAGGACGTTCCCGTCCATGTGGAGGACACTTCAAATTCATCACAGACTCCGCCCACTCCGTCTCAGGTGCCGTTCAAACTGGACCAACGTCTTCACGGAGGAACCATGATCGAGCTTCCATCTGAGGAAGAGAAGAAGCTGCAGCACTTCACGAAACTGCGACCGCGCAGGAACAAGAAAACACACTCCAACAAAGTACCTGTGAGTACTAATTTCTGAAAACAGTCTCTTAATAATAGAGAATTTTAACTGATTAATGTCTGTACTGTAGTACTGACAGTAGAATAACTAGAATACTACCAGTAGTTTTTTTTCAGTCGTGTAGACCAATAAAACCAATATGACGGTGACAGAAAATTACATACAGATGGATAAATGTGATGAATGATAAATATTACTTTCTGTTTGTCTGTCTGTGCTGCTCATTTTTTTAGCTGATCAACAGCGCTCCATCTCAGGATGGGGAGCAGAACGGCCTCATGGGGAGAGTGGATGAAGGTGTCGACGAGTTCTTCTCCAGAAAAGTCACAAAGATGGATTCCAAGTAAGAGTCGAACACTGTACCTGTACTTACTGTCCGGAGTACAGAAATATGTTTGTTTATGTAAAGTACTCTGATTACCCTTTTATTTACTTGACAATAAGTCCCGTCCTTATGTTCTCTCGTTAGACGTTCCATGAAGAGTTCAGAGTCTCATGATGGAGAGAAGAAGAAGAGCAAGGGAGGGTTCCTGAACCTCATCAAACGATCCTCCAAATCTGACAAATCAGATAAGGCGGATAAATCAGAGAAGTCAGAGAAGAATCACATGACTCCTCTGTCATCGAGTATGTCATCAGCCTCTGCAGGTGCAGCACCAGCCTTCACCATCCCTGAAGAGCCCTCCTCACCAAAGTTGGCAGTCAAGAGCCCACCTCTGGAGTCCAAGTCCAGGTATATCTCGTACCATTCTAGTCTTCCGTGTACCAGTCTGCCTCAGCCGCAGTAACAATCTGTGTCATCGTCCCAGAGATGCCTCCAGTCGCTCACAGGCCACAGACTACAGCAGCAGCTCTGACCGATCTGAAGAGTCCAGGACACCGGATTCCATAGACGAGCCGTGGGAAGGTTCGGACGGCAGAGGGAGTCCTCAGGGGGGCCGGCGCTACCCAGGAGTTCAGATGATGGGCAGTGGTCTCCTGGCAGAGATGAAGGCCAAGCATGAGAGGAGAGCACACAAGGTGAGGAGGTGGGGTTTAGGCAGCAAGGAAAAGAACAAGGCTTATTTTAACATAAGAGTTTGTGAATGTGGGAATAAAGAATGTAAATATACGGGTGTATTTTGAAAAATAATTTAATAGTAAAATGAATAAATAAAAAACACAAAATCATCACAGTTTCTCATGATCCCTCAGTGATCTAGTTCTACACAGATATGACAAAAATCACAGATTCCTTACATCTTTTAATATGAAAATTAACAGTTTATTTCATGTTTATTTCTATAAATAATAATTTACACTCTTCACATGTTTGCATTCAAGGAAATCAACCAGTGACCAGTGCATCATGGGAACTCGGCTCACTTCAATTTGAATGCCTAATGGTTAATACTGTAAGAGAATGAATGAACCAGCTGTGACTCCAACAATCAGGAGTCAACAATTCAAAACCAAACACCTTTGAATAAATCAACTAAATCCCCTAGTGTCATTTTTATAAACACTACATCTAATTTAACCATTAAATCAAGAAATAATCTTCCAACCATCTGGACTAAATATGCCTAGTTGTTCTTAAAATGAATGGATCACCTGTTTTCTCTCGAGTTAACGTGGCTCAGAACTAACGCTCTGTTTCTCTTGCTCTCTCTCTCTCTCTCTCTACACCTCTGTCACTAACTGTAGCTTTCGTTTAAACACAACACAAAGACTGTGTTTTCATTTATGATTCTGCGTTTTAGAAACCAATGCACTCACTAATCTGACCTTTCTATTTTCCAGCTCTTCAATCTCACAGTTGATTTATTTTAATTAATTACCTAAACTATAATTGATTGGCTTCAGATTTGCTGGCAAAACAACCATGATTTAAATAGTTAACAAAATAATTACTTAGTGGAATAATTATGTGCTGGATGAATGGACTGATTGGTTTTGCCTAAAAATCCCTGTGTTATAATAGAGAGTAGTATACACACACAAAAACACAAAAACCTGACCTTTAGCAGTTTGTGTTAACATTGACGTCAACTTCAGTGAAAAGGTTTTTTGGTAAAGTCACTGATCAATTAAAATTAAGTACAATAACAAGAATGCACTAGTTGACCGACCAAAAATGTGAACATTAAAAAGTAAATATTAAATAAAGAATTTTTTTTAGATCAGTGAAGTATAGAAATGTATCGGTTCATCCTTTCATCTATCAATAAATACAATCGTTTTATTTTTATGTCTTATTTAATTAATACAATCTTGTAAATTAGTTTCAAATAAAAATAACAAATACAAGTAGAAAGTAAAGTGAGTTGGTTTTTTTTTTTGGTTTTTTTTCCTCATTTGACTTTGTTTTGTAAAGAAGCTGCTGCAGATGATCACCCTCAGCCTGGGAAGACTGTTTTGGTTCAAACGCTCAGTGGATTTAGGCAGAGAGGAGACATGAAAAGAGAAATGTTGACATACACACACACAGGCACTGATGATGAGATTGGAGAATGTCCCCAGGTTTGTCGGCATGTTGACATAAAAACACAGCAAACTCAGTTGTTTTGCTGGAGGACAAGATAACATTAGAGGAAAAGGAGCCTGAAAACAAAATGACACAGTGAAGACATGAAAGTCATAAAATGAATCTTTCACTTTCAACATGTACTAAAATCCCTGAAACTAAAACAGCCTACACTTTTTACAGCACATTTACTTTAGGCTTGCATACTTCAGGTGTGTACGTTGACTCCCACAAGTGTGTGTTCATGATTTGAAAGTCTCTGAGAAGTCAGTCGATGTTTGCCATACACTGAGTTCAAAGTGTTTGTCGCGTTTGTCGCTAAAGCTACATTTGCCATCTGCTGTTCTGGCTGGCTTCCAGATGTGTGCGCGCGTGCAGGTACCTTTTCAGGGAGCAGGTTTGTGCTACAAAGCGCTTCTACGGAACAGTATCATTTGGAATATCTGACACTACGGCGCCCTCCTGTGTTCATATGTTGACTCACATTTAGAACTTGATACAGTAATACCGTAGTTGGCTTCACTTTTGTATATTGTTTAACTTCCTACGTTTCGTTAATGATTGACAGCTCTTGTATTGAAGAGATGCACATTAGTCAATAAAAAAGAGTTATTCAGTTGACACACAGCTGGCTACAGACTTTATTAATGTTAAACGGAAATAAAAATCTAGAATCTGTTCCATGTTTGTTGACTAGTGCGGTGTTCATGTTTCTAACAGTCTTCCAGTCCAGACAGACCTGATGCCACTACAACAGGTGAGGAAGGAAACACTGTGTATTTTTGATATTATTTAATATTTAATATTTATGGATTTAACTGTTCCAATTTTTGTTTTTGTGTTTGTTTGTGTCATCAGCTAAATCTCAGTCAACAACTCCAGACAACAGGTCTCCCAGTGGAACCATGAGTAAAACTGACGCTTCTCAGGAGAAGACCCAACAGCGTGGCAATAACAAGCCAGAACTGGGTCCTCGTGTCAGAGCTGCTTCTTCCTCCAGTTCTCCAGGTGGACCGGTCAGTCCAAAACCACCAGTCCCACAGGGGACCAAGCCTGCCCTGGCTGCCCGGCCCACCATCCCACAGAAGCCCAGGACCAACAGCAGCAGCAGGAGCATTGGTAAATAATCTGATTGGAAAAACTGGTCACATGGTTGTGTTTGAGTTTGGTGTAGTTTCTACTGTGATTGACAAGTTTGATGGTGAATCCTCTGACAGATGAGGGCCCAGATTCTCCCAGCAGTGGCAGTGGGTCTGCTAAAGCTGTTCCCCCCTCCCTGAAGAGGGTGATGTCAGACAAGGACAAGGAGGGATGCTCTGCCAACAAATCCAACAAGGAAGGTAGGTTTAAGAAGAAAAAAAAACCCTGACATTTGAACATGACACGTTTCTTTGTTACTTTCTGTCCTTCTTTTCATCAGTAACTTGGTCATATTCCCTGTGATGTCCTGGAAAATGTCAGCAGTCAGGAGGTGACAGTCTGATGGTTGTTTAATAGTACCCCAGAGTGTTCAATATGACACCCGTCAGACCGATGGATTGAGGTCGCAGCTCGTTCAGTCACTCAGTCTCTTTTTTTTGTTAGGTTTTTGTCTCATTTTTTTAAAGTTTTTGATTCAGTGAAACTGTTTTGGCCCTGACCTGAACCCTCCTCTGGGTCGTCAGTCTTCAGGATGAGACAGTATTGTATAAGGGCACATGATCTTTTTCATCACTTTTATAACTATGGTAAAATAAAAAATAATCTTTTGACTTAATCCTTCATGTTGTTGGACTGTGGGTGAACCAAAAAAAACTCTTCCCCCCCCCCCCCCCCCCCCCCCCCCCCCTTCTCTGTTTTATAACATAGTGACCTAACATAGTGACCAGGGCGGCGTCAGACTCTGTTCACAAACCCAGTCCCGTCCGGTCCATATCAGAGGATCAAGGCCCATTGAAGACCAAGGACCAATCTCCAAATCCAGACAAGAACAAAACAGCCAATAAGAAGTCATCAGATTCAAGGGATGAGGCAGAAAAAGACATCATTTTAATTTAAATGAAAGAAACAGAAAAATCTCCCTTAGTGAATAATTAAAGTAGTGCTTATTTCTGTTAGGTTGTAAAACAACTGAACTCTACAAAATAATTAATTAAAATGGACTGTTTTGATTTTCATAAAAACCTGCACAAATCAGGTAAACATTTAATTTAATGTTTAAATAAAATTAAAAACGAATGTGAGATCCTTTAAACTATATTACCCCTGCGTCCTAGTAAACCAAACCAAAACATGTTTCCTGTCAGGGATAAAGAAAACGGGTTTCCTTTTGGGAAATTGCGACTAAACCTGACTTTATGTTGACAATAACGATCTACAACAATAACAACAAACGTGTTAATTTTGCACATCTTTAGTGCAAGCGTCAGTAACAGAGAGAAGAACAAAAGACTGTGAATTTAGGGGGGGAAATATATGTAGTGATTTACTCTGACTACTGTTGAAAACACTTTAATTTCTGCAATAGCCTGACCCCTAGGGACCAAACACTATACCACTACCACTGTACTGTACTGAACTTAGTAAGACACAGATGCAAAACCATATTTTCTCTCAGTAAATTTTTTGGGATTTAAAAAAAAACAAAACAATTAAACCCATTATGCAGATAGTTCCATATATTTTACAGGAAAATACAGGTTGAGCGCATAACACTTCACACACAACACAGTCACAGTCAACACGGACTCTTCACTGAAGGACGGTGTCTGACTGTCCAACTGGACCAAAGCGACCACATGACCTATTGTTCTTCCAGGGGACTGCGTTAGACTTTTACTTGACTGATCACTAATCAATAAGGCTTCAACACTGTTAGAACACTGTGGAGGAAACAATATTTTTACACTCAGCTGCTGAGCACTTTTGTATGCACTGACCTTTGACAGTTCAGTCAGGCTGACGGTCCACTTAAAGCAAAAAAAAAAGATAAAAACAACAGACTTGTTAAGAGGTAAATCAGCTGCAGCTGCTCCACTGATGTAACGTGGAAGACACTGTTGTGTGTTTTTCCTTTTTCCGTAGCTACTGTGTAAAAACACTGGGTGAAGCTCAGATCATTTTTAACCACATGTTTTTCTACACAACCTGCAGGACTTGAAATGTTTGCTCACTTTCACACCAAACTTTGCAATACAAACCCACGGTATCATGGTCACGTGACTTCTGCCTCCTTCCTGTGTAAAGTCATTGTAAATATGTTTCCTGTGTGTGTGTAAAGTTAACTGAGCACCAGGCTCTATTTTCACTTTTGGACATTGCTGTAACAACGACACAGGTCTCAGGATGATTCCTCATGTTTCTATTTTAGAAAAGAAAACATTTATTACTGCTACACTGAGGATATAGTTGACTCCCCTGTCCTGACTGTTGGGCGTCTTGCCTGTTCATCCTGTCTCCTGTTAGTATATGTACACAGTGATAGTTATAACTGCTGTCCAGATTCCGAATTTCACTACTTTCTGCTTGTTGGTTGTTTAAAAGTGAACAATTTAACAGTAGAATATTCAGCATTTTTTATGTCAGTGTTTGTACACATGGACAAAGTTGACTCCCCCAGTTTGAATACCTTGGTTCTTGAGTTGAGTGTTTGTTAATTTAAATCAACTAACGTCGTCCATTTCTTTCCAGGCGAGGTGAGTTAGCTTTCCAGATTAGCAAGTGTCACTTAAATATTAAAAATGCACCTTGTAAAAGAGCTAGTGAACGCTTTGTTTTCACCCATTAAAATAAGGATTAAAAAACAATGAGAATGTTTTATTTTCACAGAAATCATTGTACTTTCTGCCAGTATATACATTCTTTTTTTTTTATAATCCAGAGCCAAGTTGTAGTAAAAAAACATCTTGGTGTAGAATTCAACCGATGTCTCTTTGGATCCAAATGTTTGACCTTAGAGTCAAACAGTTGCTTCCTCTTTTGCGTAATGTCCATGAGTTTTTGTTAAATGAGCTTCTTTACAAAAAAAATGGCAGGTTTAGGAACAACACTTTCCCAGCTGTATATAGTCGATCAGTACTTGATGTCAGTGGCTACAGTACTACAGTCCTGCAGTATTTTTGTTGCAAAGATTGTTCAGGACAAACAGGACTTATTGTAAATGAACGCATGTGTCTGTGTGCTGTACCACGGTGCTGTGGTCACCCGTCTCCTGAGGTGGGGATGTGGATGTCCTGCCGTCCGTTTTACGTTGTTTTGTTGGAGAGCAGTGAAATTTTCTGTCAGGTTGTGTGAGACATTGATGATCAGTCGCTTAAAACGTTTGGAACCAGAGCATTTCAGCTCTGTGGAGGCAACGACAGCAACCAGTAGCAATTGTGTATTCGTGTGTGTGTGTGTGTGAGCATGAGCATGCATGACATGTCAGTGAGTCAAACTATGTGTATATACATGTATATGAACTAATATGCAGATGTAATATACAGACTGTGATTTGTTCACACACTCCAGTGACCACAGAACAAATACTACTTTCCTTCGGTACTGCGTTCACTACTAAACTACAGGTTTGCTTTGTAACTTATTAGGATTTTTTTTTTAAACCTAGTTGGTAATGTCTCAAACTTTTTTTTTGTTAACTTGTATATTGTGTTGATAAATGTTAAATATAATTCTGTGTGATGTCATATTTCCTTTCATTGAAATATTGATGAGTCCTTAAAGAAAAAGAAATCACAAAAGACTGGGCTTTTTTTCTTCTTGCACTGCATAAAAAAGCAAATACAACAAGGGTTAATGTTTGTATGTTGTTGTTATGTTCTGTTTTGACACGATGTTAAGTCCATCCTGCCGTTCTTGGACATTTCTTTATGCAAATAACACTGATTAAAGTAATTTTACAGGTCTCTATAATCCTCTGGCAATTCCTGTAGTGAGTTCTAAGTCTAAGTGAAACCTTTCCGTGTTACCCACGATTCAGTATCAGCCAGTGGTCCTGTCCTCCCCTTCTCCCCTCCTTCCTATACCGTTCCTGTCTATACAGAGTATTATCTAACAAATAGACACACACAAATACAAACATACACAAATAGTACATAATGGATTTTCACGTTATGCTACTTGTGAACTTTTGAAGTTAACCACCAGATGGCAGTCGTTTTTCTCTCTTGCTCCCTCTCTCTCTCTCCCTCTCTTCCTCCCTCCACCCCCTTCACTCACACAGAAGGTGTGGTCAGTCCTCAGTAAGAGTCACCCAGACCAGACCAGCAGCTGAACACTCTGTGACCTAAGTGTTAAAACCTGAGTTTTGTCTAAATTTAAAATGGACTCTGCATTTGATAACCTGGACGCAATGGGTTTCCTGGAAATATGGCAACACTTCGATGAGGACGGTAAGACCACTTTTGTTTTGTTTTTTCAAATACCAAACAAAAGTCCATTAAATGTAACTGGTTTATTTTCAACTTTTATTTTGACAGATAATGGCTACATCGAAGGTAAAGAGCTTGATGAGTTTTTCCGGCACATGATGAAGAAATTGAGTCCACAGGTAATTATAAACCAAAGAGATTTTGTTTTTTTTAAAAATCACTGTAGATTTGACTGAGACGAGAATCACTTCACTAACGCTCATCAATGGTCCCTGCATTGAAAACAAGGGCAGCTGATGGTAATGGAAAGTTCTACTAAGATCAGCCTGATCTGAGTAAACAGGTGGATTTTCACCTAATCTCCCTGGATTTCATCTCAAATTCCAGTCATGAAATTCAAGTAGTTTTGGAGTCTAATTAGAGTTTTGTGTGTCTGCACATAGAGTATTTACTGCCATGAAGCTTGAGATACAGTTTTAATTATTATTTATATGGATACAAAAAACAACTGAAGAACTGAATTTTTCTACAATTTTAATCCATCTGGAAAAAAAAAATATTAGGTTTCCTAGGTAGAGGGCAGTGTCCCTGCAGATAAACCACATCACCTTCCACAAATTAAATTTTTTTTTTGTTAATTAATTTTTATAAGCATAAGTCCAAATTTTATTTTAGCTACTGAGAAACCCCTCTGTTCACAGCTTTAACAGTATTTGCCGTAAGTGCACTGTGGTCAGTTAGCTCCTTGGGGGGGTCAGGCAGAACATTAGACCTAATGCTGTTTTAAAAGCTCTGATTGGTTAGAAATGACATGAGTGGGAAGTGTGGGATTTCACTAATGACACATCAGTCTGACTGGACACATGTTCTGTGTCAAACTGTCACTTTAATGAACAGTGGACAGTCAAACACATGTATGAGAGTGCTTGTATGAACCTGGTATATCCTGTATATGTGTGTGTTTGAGAATGAAAGGAAGAGAGAGAGAGAGAGAGAGAGACTATTATCCTTTATTTCCTTGGAAACTAATGGACAAGAAGACAGCTGACCACATGTTGGTCCATTTGTCTTGTTTGTTCTTTCCCTCAGGGTAAGTACTGTCAAGTACTATTAGGGGTACTACTTACTTTGCACACAAAAAAAAAAAAAAAACAGCAGTGTGCTTTTTCCGCTAATTTCAATGAACAGATTAAAATTAAATTCAATAACTTTCACCGGTCAAACAGGCATTAATTCAAGTCAGGAAAATAAAGGCAGAGCAAAAAAGGATGTTTTCTTTTTTTGTCAGCACTCTTCAACATTCTGGATTTCCTGCTTTACTAAAAACCTGCATCAGTTACTACGGTAACAAAACAGTATCTGACCTGCTGCTTCATTTGCTCTGATGATAACAGAGTGTCTTAGTGTTTCAGCCTATCTTTACAGCACACATACAGATGGGCTGTGTTTGTACTTTACACAGACTGTATATTGAAGTTGAGAGCCCCAGTTGTTGACTGTTTTTGTAATTCAATAATCTATCAATTGTTTTTCTTTGACTCAATTACATTTAATCATTTTTTTTCAGTAGGAGAAAAAATAGTAATAAGGTAAAAAAAAAAATCTGAAAATGACATACAACTTGATTCTAGAACCGGCAGAAACAAGAACAACAAAAACTCTAAAAGTAAAACGATACAACACAAATATCTTTATACAAAAAGTAACAACTGTCCTAGAGTAAGACCCAGACACAGTACTGCACGGAGTTCTACTTTCTAAAAACTTCTGATTAGCATCAAGGCACTGTGGTACCAGAGCTGAGGTTCAAGTGTGTGTGTGTTTGAACAGCAGGGGCTTGGCACCTGGTGGTCTGTGGACTGTGCATGACGTCCTGAATGAAATGATGATTCATCGTTTCAGCACTGGTCTGCAGGTTCCTATGGTTACCGTACGGTCGCTAAGGAATCATGAAAAGAGACGAGACCAGGTGATTAGCTGCAGATATATTTTGAACATGACAAACAGCAGGGAAGGTTTTGGCTCATAGTTGTTTCATGGTTTTTCTACTGTGGTTGAAAAATCAACACTCAGAAATGGAGTTAATTTAACAGAGAAAGTGGTTACTGACAAAATGACCTGATTGTTGTTTGGGGACAAGAAACTTTAAATGTAAAAAGTAGTATTAATGTGATAACACTACTGTATACAGTATTAGAGACAAAGGTCAGACTTTTCTGACTCTGAAAAAAGAATACAAAAAAAGTCTAAACACATCAATAATTTCTTCTTTTAAGAACAAAATTTCTCTAAACTGTTGGAGACAAATGAGAGAGGTATCTAAACATAATTTTATTATTATTATTATTATTATTATTAGTTATTGTAGCTAGAAACACAGTCAGAAACACCAAACGTTTGTATCTCCTGTGTACCGGGGACCTCGTGTTGACCCCTCTTCCTGGTGACTGGTTAAGGTTTGTGTAAGAGGTTTTTTTTTCTCTTCTGTCCTTCAAACAGGAGAAGGTGACGGAGGAGCAGGTTCAGAAACTGAAGCATCGATTCATGTCCGCCTACGACGCCACGGCTGATGGAAAACTTCAGATCCAGGAGGTAAAGTATCAAATCTCCTGTTGACCGGCTGTGTCTGAACTAAGGTAAAAAGTTGGATTACTAAAGGTCGTTAAAAACTGTAATAGAAAATATTATGGACTCTGGAATTATGGGATTTCTAAAGCATCTAATTACAAAAAATGTGTAACATTTCTATTTCTTTTTTTCTAGATGTTCTATGCAGTAAAATGATTATTTTTGTAAAAAAAATAAAAAAACACAAAAAACAAGTCATTTAATGCAGTGAGATCTTGGTCCATTGTTTCTGCAGCAGGGACATAAACAATCAATACATATTTGCACCAGGTCTGGTTTCACATACTAATCTATTGTGGTTGATACAGAGGAAGTCCGGCCATAGATGACCACGGACCACGGTTTGATACTCAAATTACCAATTCCTTTTATCCTCACTCTCATAAAAAGTGCTGCTCATTTCAATGTGAAAAATGGTTCCAACCAACCAAGTGACTCTGCTCTGTCACAGTGCTGTAGAATTAGTTTAGATACGTTTTAAATAGCCACAAATAAACAATCTAGTTTTAAAGTTAACACAAAGTTTGTCAAAATAATTGAGTGAACCAAACGTATTGAAAAAAAACCATAAATGTTAAACGAAATATAACAAATGTCAGCCTATCACAGCAAAAGCAAAGTGATAAGAATCAAAAGGTCACCAAAGACGTTAGCTAAGATATAACTAAATGTTAGCAGTAACTGATGGTTTTCCTGTTTCACTTTGTCTCTTACAGTCTAAAAGGCTGAATGGTTAGGTTTATTATTCACACTAAATTCACCCTAGGTGTGGACGTTAGTGTGAATGGTTGTTCGTCTCTATACGTGGCCCCTAGGACACTGGGAATATAATGTTGATTTCAGATCAAAAACCTTGTCTGTGACCTCTCTGCTGTCGGCATCACTGCTGTATTTCTCCTCCATCAGTCAGTGGTGGCAGTTTTATATTTTAAAGTAATGATGTTGGACAAGTTCAATCTTCTAATGGAAGGCTAATGTTGTTAGAGAAGGACGGGAGTAAGACCAGAAGAAGATGAAGAAAAAGAGGAAGCCAATATAGAGATGCTTCATCCATTATTGACAGTGTTTCAGACAGACGGTTCAAAGATGCAGCTGGGTCTAATATTTGAATGGGTACGACTACAAGTACCAAATACTTCGGTGTTCAAGTATTGTGTGTTAGAGGCCGATGCATCTTCTGATATTGATGTGTTTACATATGCACACAGAAATTGCAGGCTGGTACAGGTGTGCAGTGGTGAGTTAAAAAAAAAAACATGTTAAGAAGCTAAACATGAACAATATTTGAGAATAAAGAGGACAGAGATGTCGCCTTCATCTACTGATGGCTCTGTTGTCTGTGGTCCATGTTTTTCAGTTGGCCAATATGATCCTTCCTGAAGAGGAGAACTTCCTGTTACTGTTCCGCAGAGAAGCTCCTCTGGACAACAGCGTGGACTTCATGAAGGTAAGACTGTGGAAGAACTACCTGTTAGTGAGAGATTGATCCACCGGGAGTCAGGCTAAATCTTTGGATTAGAGTTTAATCAGTGTGTGTTTATATATCACTAAAATCTGTGTGTTTATGCCTATCGTTGTATTGACACTGTGTGTGTGCATGTGTGTGTGTGTTTACCTCTTTCTCCTTCTGATGCAGATATGGAGAAAGTACGACGTCGACTGCAATGGCTACATATCAGTTCAGGAGCTGAAGGTCAGACACTGACACTTGGTCAGACTTAACTCTTTGTCCTCCAAACACTAACAAACACACATAAAAACACACCAAATTGTTGTCATCAACTGTGCTGTTGCTGATTAGCTGTTAGACTAAAGGAAAAAAACGGATTCTTTCTCAGGGTTTCCTCCAAGACCTGTTGAAGCAGCACAAAAAGCAGATGTCACCAGAGAAGCTGGAGAAGTACACGGACACCATGGTAACAGCAGCTCACACTGACACAGCATTTCAACACAGGTGTAAGAAACACGGGACGACTCGTTGATGTTAAAGTGCTGCAATTATAGAAATAAATCAACACCAATTGTTCAGTAAACAAAGATGGATGAAATAAAACAGGAAGTGCTGCTAGGTATGCTGATCATTCAGTTAGTACTTTGGCCAAATACAAACAGTAAAGACCATAGACGAGGGGACTGAACCCTTTTAAGTAATGAAACTTGTTTGAGATTTCTTTGTAAATATAAGCCTATTTCATAATTGTGATGTTTTTGTCTTTTATTTTTGTGCACGGACGGAGAGAAACAGAAACAGGACATTTTTCTTGGAGACCAAAAAAAAGTGAAAAAGTTGGAAAAATCTCTTAATATTTAATTTAAAAAGATATTTGTTCAGCAGTAACTCAGGTTCAGTCATAACCTAGGTCCATAGTCACAGGTGGTGAGACAGGGATTCACCCAGACGTGTTATCGTTGTGCTTCTGAATTCAGTTCTATTTCCTTTCGTTCTTTTTGCAGATGCAAGTCTTTGACAAAAACAAGGACGGTCGTCTGGATTTAAACGACATGGCCAGGTATTTGATTAAATTGTTGTGATTGATGGACATTCATAAGTGAATTCTCTTTTGGCGTGGAATGTTTTCTTATAATAAAAATATGATAGAAAAATAATAACCTGGGTTAAATTCTGTTGTTTAATCCCTGCTTCGAAGCCACTTTACCTTGTATTTATATGTGAATCCTGAATGACGTCAGTGTGTGAAGCTCTTTAAAGATAAATTCCACCAAGGAATTGGAACAACATTTATTATTTTTCATATAAAATAATCTCTAAAAATCCTTTTTTTTTTCTTCTCCCTCAGGATTTTGTTTCTCGAAGATAATTTCCTCCTCCAGTTCAAGCTGGATGTAAGTGTTTCAGTGACATCACAGTATGAATGACACTGCCTCAGTCAGTTAGTTGTCATTAAGTTTTCTAATTTCTCCAAGGCCTCCAGTAAAGAGGAACGCAAGAAGGATTTCGAGAAGATCTTCAACCACTACGATCTTGTGAGTACTGCTGACTCATCACAGTCAGGATCCATCGTCTGTCAAATACAGTGGATGAGATTATCTCCACCCTGTAGATGGATGGTGCTGTAATTAGTCTTTCCTTTGGACTCCATTGATGGGTATTTACCCAACATTCATCTGTTAGCATGGCTTATTCTGTCTTCTACCTGCAGACCTGTAGAGGTCAGTAGATAAGAGAAAACAGAACTTTAAGGATCAAAACTCTAACCCAGTGTATTTCAACCTTGGGGTTGGGACCCCATGTGGGGTCTCCTTAAAAGGTCTAGTAATTTATTAAAAGAAATTACTGATAAAAATAATATTACAACTAATTAAAAAAATAGGATTAATTAATTATTATAATCTCAAACAACTGTAATCTTTAACCTTCATGCATATAAATTGAGTTCAAACTAAATGCAGCAAATAAAAACATCGAGTGATTTCAAAATGGATCATAAGCCAAAAAAGGGTTGGGAACCAACGCTTTAATCACTTGGTTAGACGATAACCCGATTCTCCTTCTGAACCACAGCAGCTACACGATTACACCTGACATTCATTTACATTCGTCTGCAGAAGAACACGTGTGTCTGAGTCTAAATACCTCCATTAGCTTTAATGACACTGATTAACAGAAACCGTGTTTTCACATCACGTCCTCGGTGCAGTGAGGATCAGGTCCTCCAGTTCTACGGCCCCCCAGTCTTTGCCGACAGATATGACAAGATTTAGCATCATGTCATTGTCAGGTGATATTTTATTGGACCAGGTTTTTCATGTTTAAAGTATTGCAACAACACCTTCACATCTAGTAAATCAACACAGCTGAGAATAAACCGAGAAAGGGTTTGAAGGAGCTGCCGTTAAATAAATTAACAAGGGAATTCTGCCGCCAAAAAGCATTAATATTCAGCAGTGTGACAGGACAAACAGTTCTCGTCCTTCCTGTCTGTGTCACATCTGGTTAGTATAATTTAATTTGATAAAATGTTTACATGTTCTTCATGTTACACTCACAACAGTTAATATGAGTTGTCACATTTATTGATCATGTTTTGAACCAGGATCTTGGTCTATTTTAGGAACAACACTGCCTAATAAATGTAATAGATTGAAAGGATCAATACGTGATTTTGTTTTTCACATTCTGTTGCTTCTGTTTTATTTTAGAACAAGACAGGAGAACTGGAGGGCCCTGAAGTGGATGGGTTTGTCAAAGACATGATGGAGCTATTCCTGCGGTTTATCAACCTTCTGTGTGAGCAGAGACCATATTGACTTGGAGGATCACATGATTTACATTTTACTCTTTCTGCCTTTCTTTTGTTTATTCATAAATGAAAGATTGAAAAATAAATTGCAAAGATAAAGTTAGATAACCTAACTATCACAACCTTATATTATAAATGTATGACTTTTTTCTCATACGTTTATGACTTGAATCCTAGAAATGTCTAATTTCATTTTTGTAAACTTGCACAATTATTCTCATAAACATACAACAAGCTTTGGCTAACATCACACCTTTGTTTTTTATGACTCATAATTCAAATCCAACTTTATGATATTACAACTTTAATCTTGTCATTTTAGGTGTTTTTATCCTCAATATGACCCTAAAACTCTGCCGTAGACATATAGAGTAGATATATTTTCTCCGTGCTGCTGCTGTACATAAAAACATCTCTGTTGTCCTCTGTCCTGTCTCCTCCTCAGCCCAGCATCAGTGGTCCAGAGCTGGACAAGCTGAGGGAGATTATGCTGCGTCACTGTGACGTCAACAAGGACGGAAAGATTCAGAGAAATGAGTTAGCGCTGTGTCTGGGAGTCAAACCCTAACCTCAGTCAAGGTGACCATTATTAACAGAATTCTTTCCAATGTTCACTTCAGTTTGCTGAGACCTGCTGATCATTCTGCCTTTTTTTAAGATCCTGTGTTGAAGGTTGTTGTGTTGTATGTAGTCCAAACGTGCATGGTTCACAGTCATGGTGGTTTATTATGGGATTTATTAGACTGTTGTGAGTAAAATGAGAGTTAAAATAATGTGGCATATCTGTATGTTGTGGTAAAATAAATGTGGTATTTAACTGAATTTTACAACTCACTGGTTTCATCACACTCACACCTTTAACTTGTCTGGTCTGGCCCACTTGTTCACAGTCTAGCCCACTCTTACCTGGGATTCCCACCCTGGTCTGGGAATTGAACACATGCTCAAAGATTGATATATATATGTACTGTGTGTGCGTGTGTGTGTGTGTGTGTGTGTGTGTGTGTGTGTGTACGTGTGTACGTGTGTGTGTGTACGTGTGTGTATGGGTGTGTGTACGTGTGTGTGCGTGCGTGCGTGTGTGTGTGTGTGTATACATACAGTATATGAAGGTCAAAACATCTGTGTTCAACTGAATCTTTCCTCTTCATTCAGCAGTGATGTGGCAGGAGCTGTAAACCACTTGTCCGTCTCCTAAACAGGTTAGACAGAGGTCAGACACAATTCAATAATGACCCAGTTAAAGCCATTCATTAGCTGCTGTTTGTTCCACTGCTGTCACATTAACAGGTGTTTCACCTGCAGCCTCTCTGATGAAGATGAAGCTGTAAACACGACAAGAAGAAAAACTATAGGGATAAAAGAAACAGAAAAAGAAGCAATAGATGAAGTTAGATGTAAAAGAAGAAGAAATGGAGAATGAAGTGATGAAGACATTGGAGATGGATTTTAAAAGAAAGAAGAAAACAAGGAAGAAGAAATTTTTCAGTGAAACTACTATCTAAAAATAAATACTCAGACTTGAGGAGCAGCCTGATTAAAATTTTTAATGCAAAGAGTACCCTCTGTTGGACGTTTGGCGGTATTGCCGTTCAAATTTGAGAAAATCGACAAGATAAACATAATGTCTAAATAATGTCCTTTTTATACATTATCCTTTGTTTACACTGTTTAATCACGACAGCCATCTGAAGACGACTTTAAATCTCTTGTGTAGTATCAGAAATGTCCACATGATGGCAACATGACGCCATGCATTTTATGTTAAACTACTGTTAAACTATATGGTTTTGAATTCTCTACCTAATTGAATTGTGTATATTCATATTTTAACTTTAATATATAATTATTTGTTATAAATCAACTTTTATTAATTGGACTGTGTTCATAGAAAAAAAAATACGTCTAATCTTATTTTAGCACAAAATTAAGGTCGGGACAATCGATTTTTCCGTTAGCAGCCGAAATAGAATGAAAATATTTCTGCAAGAATTTGCTGATGTAAAAGACACAGCAGTGACCTCCGTGTGGTCTTTTCTTCTCTGTCTGCAAACATTGACGACCGAGTCAACAACGAATAACAAGGTGCTGTAAATTCTTACCCTTAAAGATTACCCGGCCCTTCTTTGAGTTTGAGTTGGCGTTTCTGTCCTTCTCCTAGGTGAGAGCTGACGTCCACGTCCCTGAAATGTCGCTGCTGTGTGGACCCGAGGAAACGTGTAAGTTAAACTAAACACAATTCACACGGTATGGATTTGACAGGGTCAGCAGTTACCATGGTGTGAGCAGAGCATCTCAGTGATCTTTACAACAGACACAGGTTTTACTCTTATGTAAGTAAAACTACGACATAATTATATATATTAAAAAAACTTTACATTTCTATTTTCCAAAGAACTTCAAACAACAGTTTCGTTGATCTAATACACCAAGTGTCTTAGATTTAATATCACTCATACAATTTCAAAATATTTTTTTTTTTGTTAAAATGAGAGACTCTTGTTTTATTATTTCATCAGAACCAATGACAATGACTTAAAATTTAACTTTTGCAAAACTGTAAAAGTACCTGAATTTCAACTGATGCTTGAGATAAATGCTGGTGATTGACTTTAACTGACTGTTAACTCTAATTCAGTAGAACAAGGTAAAAAATAATTAACAATATCCACAAAGTATTGAAACTGACTTAAATTAAACTTAAGGTTAGCATGGAAGAGTTTAGCAAAATACTGTATGCCCATGTTATTCAGCCCGATTAAACAAGAAAATAAATTATTAAAACCTAGAAAATAGCAGTTACAATATATAAACAATATATATGTACGTATATATACACACACACCTAAATACCAGTTTGCAGTCTGCGTGTACACACAGGTGAAGGTTTTATGATGCTCTTTGGTAAATACTGCAAAACTAACAGTCATGAAGTTTACAAAGTGTGACGCAGGTTTCTAACTTTACGCCACTCTCTTTAGAAACTGGACTGACGGAGGCAGTGGACAAACACCAGCGTGTACACCTGCACCTCTACAGGTCAGTCATGAAAACCAGTGGCCTGACACAAAATGCTCAGTTCATCTTTTGAAATCTGAACTAATATGAAATTATTGAAAGTGAGAAATAATTTAAATGTAGTGGAAAAAACTTTTTTTTTCTTATTAAGACATTTAGTGACAACTTTATTGGTAAAAAAAAAAAAAAAACATTTTCAGGAAACATCTGGAATCTGCTGCCTGATGGTTTTATTATTAAACTTTCCAGCAGCCATGTGTTTAGGTCTTCAGCCGAGGTGATATTAAAACAAAGATGTTCATGGAACAGACACAGATGATCTGTGGTTACAGACCCTAACACTCTGATGTGTGTGTGTCTGCGTGTGTGGTACACTGATTTGTGTGTCTTATGCTTCAAAATCTCAACTGAAATATATTTCATTTATCTGATTTTTTATTATTATTTCAAATCCCATTGAAGAAATAAATAACATGCAGTTCACTGACTGTGGATCAACGGAGACATACTGGAATTATTTAGTTGCTATTAGTTAAAGTTATTGATTTACTGTGCTCCCCCTGCAGTTAGGTTACAAAGTTAGAAGTGGGAGGGGAGGGGGTTCCGCCCCTCACTTTGGAAACAACAGTTACAACATATTATATCAAATGAATTGAGATGTAGCCTAGCCTTCACAATAATTGATTGTGATTTTTTTTTTTTTTTTTTTTTTTTTTTTGTAGTTGAACACAATTTCAGTTTGTTTGGAGCTCAGAATGTAGACACTTCATTACAAAATAGTAAAAGTTGTTGCTTGTCCAGGCTGTGGACATTTGTGTTTCAGGACTAAAACCGACTACATGTACAACATTTGTCAACCTGAATTTGTCCACTCTGTGCTCCTTCAGTCATTCCCATTCCCTTCTCTTCCACATAAACTCAGGCATGTATCCTCTTGTGATGCATCCTGAGATTTTTCCAAACTCCACGTTTTATTGGGGGAAGCCAGATATCGCAGTCGTCCACTGCCACCCACCTGAGGACACACACATGTCTCTGTCCTGGTCTCCAGCTCACGTACTTGAGTGGACAGCAAATAAACAGGGAGTGAGAGATTTGTGGTGGCCTCCCAGGCTGTTCCACACACACACACACACTTGCGACCTGGCAAGAAAACTGAAGACAATCCACTTTGTGGGGTGAATAAAATAAACTGATGAAATGGTTTAGAGAGAGATGACAAAGAATGAGTGATGTTAACAGAACAAAACTTTTTTTTTTAAACTACTACAAAGTTTGACCCCTACTCACTGAGGCCACCGTTTCCGACCCTTTCAAGGCCTCAAATCTGACCAGAACCTGAGATTGTCTCCCAGTGAAATATAAAATCCATGAAGCAACATCTGCAGCACTGGTTACATAGATCATTAAAGAAGCCGAGGGAAATCAACGGGGAGTCACAGGTCTAGAATAGAAAACTAAATCTTGGGTTTACTGTGGTATTTTTGAACCAGGAGGCGTGAGGTCATTGGAATAAGTTTGTATTTCTCACAGATACTTTTACCAGCAGTACTCTGTGGATGTAGAATTTAAGGGTAATTTTTAAAAAGCTGATTTTAAAAGTTGAAATATATTCAATTACTTTAGAATAGCTTCAGATAATGACTGTAATTAAAAAACAAAACAACTTAAAAAATCCTTTAAAAGCTAGTCTAAAACAGGCATGGCCAAACTAAGGGTCGAGGGCCGGATGCAGCCCATTCGGCTTTTTAATCCAGCCCGCCAAACTTTTCTAAATGATACCAATTATACTTCTGCCTTTTCCCTGCAATACTCACGTTTCCCCAATAGATGGCGCAGAAAATGAATTTAGCATTTTAGCCTTTATGCATGACTTTTACATGTCATTTATCTTAGTTCACACGAACACTCCATCTCTCTGCTCCTGACCCCGCCTCCCCTGTTCTATTTTAGGACCAATTGTGGCCCAAGAGTCAAAAAGTTTGGGTAACCCGACAAATGATTAAGAAATTAACATCTTAAAAAAATAATTATCTTTATACCAAAAAAAAGTTAATATCTCCCTCTGTGTTAATATAAAAAATGAAGACACAGGACAGACTTGACGCTGTCTCTTTGACCCACTGTCCCTCCCAGACTGTTGACCTCAGCTGTTGCTGTGTCCAAGTGTTTAAAACCAGGGTTAAATGGTCTGTGTTGGCTGTTAGCTGTGACTAAATGATAGTGGAGACCTCTCCCAGGCAGCAGCCCCTGTGTGGCCCGACCACTTTGGTCAAAAGCTTTAAATTCTGAAGCAGAATCCAACAGTAACATCAGCACAGTGAGAGAGCTGCCGTTTGCTGTGACTGTGTTTACAGACCACTGTGTCAGAGCCTCAGTTTAGACACTCGCCTCCTACCACAGGAGAACGGAGGCCATTTACAAGGAGCTGACAAATTGAAGTCAGGACAACTGGGTTTGGTTGTCATGACAGTAACATAGAAGATGCCCTCCTTGTTTTTGCGTGTATAAAACCCTAAAATTTCAGGGGGCGCTGTTTCTACCACAGACCTCCAGTGACTGAAGTGTCCACTCTAGCTTTTTTTTCTAGGCTTTTTTACAGTATCTAATTTTCCTTTTTTCTAGGCTTTTTTTTTACAGTATCTAATTTTCCTTTTTGTCTCCTGCTGCTGCGTAGCTCTGTAGCTGCTGCGTTTATCCCACAATTCTAGGAATTCCTAAAGACTTTGTGTGTGAGGCCAGGAATAATCGGCTGAGTGAGTAAATCCTACACCTAAAAAACCACAGACCTTTTTACGATTGAAATAAAACTCATCGATCTTCTGTGTTCTGCTCCCTTCTTCACAGTTCCGCTGACCTTCTGTCTCAGATCTGGAACCTAAACACATGTGACCACCGACCAGATGTGTGTGTGTGTGTTCCTATTTTAGGAGGCAGAACCAAATCCCCTGGGAATAGTGGCTTCTTTTTCCACTCTGACCTCCCAGGTGGGGCTAGAGGATGAGAGGTTTCAGGGTCAGCAGCAGGCTTCAGTGGTAATAAAGGAGGTCAAACATCAGACATCAAATAGAAAAGATTCAGTATCCAGAGAATTAAGTTAATTTTTACCATATTTATAGGAATAGTCTAAATAAAAATATCAACAAAATGTAAAAAATAATTATAAATATTCACCCCCCTCCACAAACAGATCAGGGACTCGCAGTAAAGCGTGTCTTCCGTCCTCCTCCGACACGGTGGCCCGTCGCTCCTACATTCCTCCAGGTTTGTCGTCATGGTGTCAGGAGGTCAGCTCCTTTATATAAGCTCAACATCTCCTCAGTCCTGAGCCACAAGGACAAAGACAGTACAACCTTCTGCTTCAGCACAGCCACAGAGGAGGGAGCTTCACCCTGAACTTAGATCTTTTAAAGACAACTCGACAATTTTGTTTTTTCTTTTTTTTTAATTCTCAAATATTTTTTGTTGTCATTTCTTAAGCATAAAGATGTCCAGTTCTTCAAGGATGGTGGTATTTTTGACCTTTTTAACAGCACAGGTAAGCATGAAAATCTTGGATATTTATTTATTTGAAAAGTATTACACAGAATTGACAACATTTAAATAAATCTCAAAATGGTTCTTTTGTCTACAATCTAAAACAGATCCTTCTTTTCTCCCAGGTTTTTGCATCAGTCTTGTCCCAGGCCTGTCCTCGGAGATGCCAGTGCCCTAAAGAACCCCCGGTGTGTGTCCCCGGTGTCCCCCTCATCCTGGATGACTGCGCCTGTTGCCTCGTTTGTGCACGTCAGAAAGGACAAGTCTGCTCTGAACTGAACCCCTGTGACACACGCAAAGGACTGCAGTGTGACTACAAGGCCGACGTGCACAAGAGGACGGGCGTCTGCGCAGGTGTGTGTGTTGTCCATACAGCACAGCTCGTCTCTGTTACATTAAATCCAAACATCTGAGACTGGTTATTTTTCATTCCTTTTCCCCAGCTCATAAAGGACAAGTCTGTGTGTTGGACGGTTCAGTCTACCAGGACGGCCAGGTCTTCTTTCCCAGCTGCAAGTACCAGTGTGTGTGTAGGGACGGACAGATCGGCTGTCTGCCACGCTGCAACTTGGATGTAATGCTGCCCGGACCTGACTGTCCCATGCCACGGAAGGTGCAGGTTCCTGGGGAGTGCTGTGAGAAATGGGTGTGTGAGCCCCAGGCTGAGGCCAGTGCACTGGGTGGATTCGCCATGGCTGGTGAGTGGACGGACGGTCGAGACTGAAATAAGACTAAGACGAAACATGTATCAACAAGCTTGACACTTGTAGTTCCAACGCATTCCCTGTAGGGGTGTTATAGATGCAGTTTAGATGAAACAATTGTATTAATTATCTTACATTTTGTCAAAAGCCTAATGGTAGCAGGAGCTTTTGATTGCAGGGTTGGTAGTTTGATTCCAAGCCTCAGCAGAGCTGTTGAAGATGTTAAACTGATAGCAAATGTGTTTAAAATTTGTTTTTTTAATGAAATTAATAAAATAAAATAATAAAAAATTGCAATATGTTTTGCACCTTTAAACCAACGTTGAAGGAAAAGCTGCTTCTTATTCTAGTTTGTTTAACTTTAGGCTAGGCTTTAAGACTAGAAATATTTTCCCGACACAAACTGGATATATTTTGTGCTACAAGAATAATATTCCTAAAGACGAACAAAAACATTTCTTTGAGTTAATGGTTTATTCCTTTCAGGAAATTCCCAACTGCTCTGCTCCTAGCTTGACTCTGTTTGATGTCTATGTCACTCCAGTGTGAGACAGTGTTAAAAGGTTATGTACATTTCTCTGAGCTGCTGAGGTTAAAGGTGCAGGACTCACTTCTTCTTCTGCTCTCACCTATACCGTTTCTTCAGCCTATCGTCAGGAAGAGACAGTGAGTTTCGACACCTGGGACCCCAGCCTCAACTGCGTTGAGCAGACCACTGAATGGGGCGCCTGCTCCCAAACTTGCGGCATGGGGGTGTCCACCAGGGTGACCAACAAGAATCGTCGGTGTGAGATGGTGAAGCAGAGTCGGCTGTGTATGATCAGACCCTGTGAGGGACTGCAGGAACAGCTGCAGGAGACACAGACTTCAACAAAGGTACTTCCAGAGTGAAGAGAGTTTCTATAAAAATGCAAATTTAGAGGAAAACAAATGCCCAGACAACTACTAAAAATAATAATTACTAAATGGCCTAACTGTATGATTTTTTCATGTTAGTTTAATTGTGTTGCATTCGCTTATGCTTTTATTTTGAAGAAACGTTGTCTTAATTGTTAAGGGCTTTACTGGTATTTTTCATATTTGATGACTGAGAAAAAAAAACGCTGACCTGAAAATCAAAATAAAACCACCATAAATCATTCTTACTTTGCAGTACTTCTATGTGGTAAAGACAAAATTGTGATATTCAAACAGATTCTTAACCTTCCTTTAAAATTAAAGCATGGCGTGAAGTACTAAACTAAATGAAGAAAGAAACAAACTTTTTTAAACAGATCCTGTTCACCATTGCTTTATATTTGATTGGTCAATTCCACTCACAGCTGTTAACTCTCTCTCTCTCTCTCTCTATATAAATATATATATATGTATATATATATATATATATATATATAGTGCTACACCCATACTTTAAAAGCTCTTTCTCTCCCTGTAGAGAGGCACTAAGTGCCAGAGGATAGTGAGAACCAACGATGCCATACACCTCGCTTACAAGAACTGCACCAGTGTTCAAGCCTACAAAACCCGTTACTGTGGCTCCTGCATAGATGGTCGTTGCTGCACCCCCCACAGGACCAAAACTGCCATGGTAGAGTTCCAGTGCACCAACGGTAAAACCATCAGGAGACCAGTCATGGTCATCCTGACCTGTGCTTGTCACAGTAACTGCCCTCAGGACAATGCTGTGTGGCAGCTATCAGAGCTGGAATACACTGGTATGACTGTATAGGTCAGAGACTCACTGCAGTTGACCCACATCATATCCGAAAGTTGTGTTAGAGTTTGGACAGAGGATATCGTTTTGTTTTCTCCTCAGACTGGATACAAAAGGAAAAAAAAAAAAAAATCAGAATTTTAATAATGCGTTTTAACTTGTGTCCACAGTAAATAGGTTTATGATCTGCAGAGGGAAGTTACTGTGGACAAATCAATGCCATCTTTGTTGCAAAATGAAGCACTTAACACTTGAGGATGAGTTGATTCTTTCACTGTGAGGAGATTAGATGACGAAAACGGACACTCACTCACAGAGACTGGTTTGTACGTGCTCTTCCAGACCTACAGGTCATGTAGTAGTGAGGTGTGAAGTCACAGCGTCTGGCATGTCTCCTCAGTAAGGCATAAGTTTGTACTATTGTAGACAAAGAACATTTAACCCTGTTGCATTAGACTCAGCATGGTTTATGATGACAAAATACTCAGATAGTGTGAGAGTTTTTTGCACCTCAGTCGTCTCTCAGATGATTATTATTATTATTTAATTGGTAATTAACATCATTTAAATTAGGTTTTGCATCAAAATACCAGGCAAGGCTGTTTACTCTGACCTGGTCCCAAACAAGGACTGAAGCCTCTAAATGTGGGTCACTGGTGACTCACTGTAATTTCTCTAACAATTTTCTAAAAAAAAAAAGATTCCCCATCACTAATATCAAATGTTGTGCACATAAACAGTAGTGGTGTGGTTTTATAATGACAAAGGTTTTGTAAATACTTGCTGTATAGTATATTCGAACAAGTGTGTATGAAATACACAATATTTTATGACAAAGTAAACATGGATTGTATATATTACTATACAGCTTGTTGATTTTGTACAACTGAAATGATTAAAATACAACATAAATAAACATGTATGTTGTTTTGAAAAGAACCAGATTTGATCATAAAAAAACAACACAACAATATTAGATTTCTGCTAAAGAAAGCTGTGAATAAGCTCAATCATGAATGTAAAAGCAAAAATTTTTAAAAAAGTAAAAAATACTTTGAATTCTTTCTTTAAAAGAAATCACATTTGAAAGGGGGTAGTGGTGGACAAGAGTCCAGAAGGTTTCAGGATAGGAAATTAAGCTTTGAATATGCTTTGAATTTTTTGGTAAAAAAACTAAAACATTTTGATGACATTTTTATATAAATATTTTTCAAATTTTTATCTTTTTGTACTTGTTTCTAAAAAAACTAGGGTATTTAGAGAACATGGTTTCACATTTTTAAAATAAAATTTTCTGTCAAAATGTACACTTCGTCAAACACTAAAAAAAATGACGAAACAGTTTGTAAAATTATTTTTCAAAATGTTATCCTTTCCTGGATGTTTATCATCAAATTAGAGCATTTAAATTTTTTCACAATTTTTACCATCGTGAAAAAATCCCAAAAA